CTCTGCCCTCTCTTTTCTTTGGCATCTTTCATGTGATTCCTTTGTGCCATGGAATCTTGCACGTATTCTTCTACAAGGATAGAATGCTTCCCAGTCTAATGGGCAAGATTTGTGTGGGACCCCAGAAGGAGAAAGTAAGGCTTGTGGGGGCTATGCCAGAGCTCGTACCATGCTTTCCCATCATCCCGAGGACCGAATTAGGAAGCAGTCATCTCATCGAGGGGCTCCACCCTTTTCCCAGCTCGTCCTCCCTCTCAGCAACCTGCAGAGAGAACCCTGGGAGAGCCCATCTCCGTGGGGAGGATCAGATCAGCTGCCGTTGTTGTGGAGGAAGCTGGGGAGAAGAATCACCATGAGGCTGGATGAGTTACGGAGGTGCTGGAGGTGAGCTCAGAGTTTCCAGGATGAGTCTGCTTCTCCAGGGGAACTTCCAGGAGGGAACACAGGGGAAGGGGCACAGCCCTGGATGGGAAGTTGGAATGTCTGAGCTGGCATCTCATCCAACATCCCACGGCACCACATGACCTTGAGTTGTTGAGCCTATTTCCTCCACTGCAAATCAGTGAAACCCATACCTAAGCAGCAATACATAAAATGTTCACCAAGATGACTGTGGCATGTAGGGGCTGGGACAGCTACAGCACTGCTCTTTTCTTAGGAGTTGGCTCTAAGAAAAGGAACCAGGTCCGTTCATGTCTCAGGCTAAGATATTGCTTGGGCCCAGCGATGTAGCCTTGTGGATAACATCTTCACCTTGCATGTGCCAGGATCCCATACGCTTGCAGGTTCGTGTCCCGGCTGCTCCACTCCCCATTCAGCTCCCTGGCTGTGGCCTGGGAAAGCAGTCGAGGACGGCCCAAAGCCTTGGGACCCTGCACCCACGTGGGAGACCCAGAAGAGACACTTGGCTCCTGGCTTCAGATTGGCTCAGCTCTGGCCATTGCAACTGTGTGGGTGGATGGAGTTCCAGGCTCCTGGGCTTGGCCTGGACCATCCTCAGCCCCAGTCACTGTGGTCATTTGGGAGTAAATCAGCGGATAGAAGCTCTTTCACTCTCTGTTTCTCCCTTTTTCTGTAACTCTGCTTTTTAACTTCAATCAGTCAATCAATGGATCAATCGATCAAACAAACTTAAAAACACAAACAAGTTCCTGGGCTCCTACAGGTGTGGGCATTTGGGCATAAACCAGCAAATGCTAACAATTTTTCTCTCTCCCAGTGTGTGTGTGTGTCTGCCTTTAAAATTAATTAAAAAAAAAATACAAACAGGGGCCTGGTGTGGTGGCCTAGCTGCTAAAGTCCTAGCTTGAATGCACCAGGATACCATATGGGTGTTGGTTCTAATCCCAGCAGTCCTACTTTCCATCCAGCTCCTTGCCTATGACCTGGGAAAGCGGATGGAAAATCTTTCCTCTTTGTCTCTCCTTCTCTCTGTATATCTGACTTTGCAATAAAAATAAATCAATCTTTAAAATAAATACAAACAATAAAAGTGAGGATTGAAGGCAAAAAACTAAGAGGTACAGGGTACCTTCTTTCACCTTTTGAATTTCTTTGGAATGTACTCTTTGGAACAGAAAACTGGTCTTAAAGAATCAGATTTCTTTACCTGTGACATATCTCTTTTCCTCAACTAAACAGCATGCCCCTTGTTTTATATCTCTCTCAGTTCCAACTTGATAGATGTTTTGAGCATTTGGTCTAATGAAGTGATTTTGTGAGTTCTCTCGAGAGGACCAGTCTGGAGGAGAGAATGGGATGGCCACCTGCTCCATGACGACACATGAGAGTGATGCAGTCCAGCCCCTCGTGAGTTGTTTTCGATGATTGAGAGACTCTATTACTATAAGAGCCTCTTCCCACTTAACTCAGTTGGGCTTGCACACCTTCTTCTTGCTTGTCTTGTATTTTTGGGAAGGAAGACCTTGCGAAGTACACAGATCCATGCCTGTAGAACCTCCGGGGAGATTTCTTAGTGACACCGTTCAAGAGATGTCCTTAGGATTCACCTTGTACTAAAGAACCTCAGGGAAATTTCTGGGAGTGTGCTTAAAGGACTGCTCTCCTCAGCCATGACAAGTCCTAAATGGTCACCATGCTCCCTGCTGGGATGTGAGCTTCTACTATTTTTTTTTTTAAGATTCATTAAATTTTTTTTTGAAAGGACAATTTACAGAGAAAAGGAGAGACAGAGAGAAAGATCTTCTAGGTCACTCCCCAAATGCCCCAGTAGCTGAGTTGAGTTGATCCAAAGCCAGGAGCCTGGAGATCCTTCTTCTGGGTCTCCCACGGCAGGTGCAGGATCCCAAGGCTTTGGGCCATCCTCGACTGCTTTCCCAGGCCACAAGCAGGGAGCTGGATGAGAAGTAGAGCAGCCAGGACATGAACTGGTGCCCATGTGGGATGCCAGTACTTGCAAGTAGAGGATTTAATCCGTTGAGCTGTTGCACCAGCCCCAAGTTTCTCCCACAATTGAAGCTCTACAAGCAAGCTGGACAAACAGGCCACAATGAAAGCAAGTCCCAGCACGCCAGCGAGGTAGAAGATAATTCTACTAAAGTTCCAGAGAGGACGGGAACTGAGGGCTGTACTAGTCCCCGAAAGCTTTCCTGATCTGCAGGGGATCTTGGAGAAAGGGTCAGGCTTGATTACTCAGAAAAGAAACTGTTGGAGGGCAGTGGATGAGCTCATCGTAGCTGGAGCACGGTTCATATGGGCGCATACAGCTGCAGAAGGGTTAGAAGGCCTCGAATTCCAGACTTACGGTTTGTGCTGGGAAGTCATTAAGTATTTATGAGCAGGTGTGTAGGAGACATCACCAAACGTTATAAAGGGCAGCTACTGGCAATGGAGAGGAGGCTGGGGGATGGCTGGGAGTTGGGGCGCTGGCCAGGGAAAATGAGAGTCTGGTAGAAGCTGTTGGACCTGTGAACCTCCCGCTAAAGTAGTTACAGGCAGAAAAAGCCAAAGCACTCTTTTCTGAAAACCTCTGTCTTGAAATAGTATTTGTATGATTTAAAAAAAAAAATGTCCAGAAACACCCTTTGTTCATGTTTATTCATTTGAATGGCAGAACAGTGGGGCTGGTGCCACCATCTGCAATGCTGGTATCCCATATGGGCAATGGATTGAATCCCAGCTGCTCCACTTTTGTTTCAGCTCCCTGCTTATAGCCTCGGAAAGCAGCAGAGGATGGGCATCCACAAGGGAGATCTAGAGGAGGCTCCTGGCTCCTGGCTTTGGATCAGCACAGTTCTGGCCCTTGTAGCTATTTGGGGAGTGAACCAATGGATACAAGATGTCTCTGTCTCTATTATTCTGCCTTTCCAATAAAAAAAAAATAAATCTTTTAAAAGTGATTTATTTATTTTCTATTGAAAAGTCAGATATATAGAGAGGAGGAGAGACAGAGAGGAAGAGCTTTCATCTGCTAATTCACTCCCCAAGTGGCCGCAACGACTGGACCTGAGCCGATCTGAAGCCAGGAGCCAAGAGCTTCCTCTGGGTTTCCCACACAAGTGCGGGGTCCCATGGCTTTGGACCATCCTCAACTGCTTTCCCAGGCCACAAGCAGGGAGCCGGATGGGAAGCGAGGTAGCCAGGACATGAACCAGTGGGTGCCTATACAGGATCCTGCTGCGTACAAGGCCAGGACTTTAGCCATTAGGCTACCATGCCAGCCCTTATGTTTGTTTTTAAAGTCAGAGAGAGAGTGCGCGCTTCCTTGTGCTGTTTCACTTCCCAAATGTCCAAAATAGCTGGCACTGGGCCAGGCTGAAGCCAGAAGCTGGGAATGGCATAAAGGTCTCCACGCACACTGACTTTTATCTGTTGCCTCCCAGAGCTGTCGGCAGGTAGCTAGCTGCATGGGAATCTGTGACTCAAAGCCACGCTGGGATCTGGGATGCAGGCTCTCCAAGGTGACTTAACCTGGCCCTGGAACACAATGTCTTCGTAGCTTCCTGACATTTTTTCCCAGGAAACAAGAGTGGGAGAGACTTCATTCTTGCGGCTGAATGGCCTAGGGCAGTTCACTTTGTTTCCCCCCCCCCCCCCCCGCCCCAGGGAACTTTAATTAGCTCATTTAAATCAGATAATACGGGTTTACCTGCTGGAAGGCATTGCTTATCTTTTCAACTCCAACAGTACTTTTTCTTTTAACATTTGTGGATTTCGGAACCCTCCCAAGTCTACTTTCTCCCAACGGCTATTCCTTTCCAGCAGGGGAACTTACTCCCCACTCTCCGTGTCCCAGCGATGTGGGTGAGCAAGAGTCTGGCTTGGAGACAGAAGCCCAAAGCCTTGGGTGCCACTTCCCAGCGCACCTGCCTCCGCCTGGTCCTTGCTTGGAAGGACGCTCCTTGGACGCTCGGAGTCTAGAGCAGCTCGCCCACTCCTTCCCCGTGCCCAACCCGGGTGTGTGTACCAGAGGCGCATTCCGGGGCCCCAAGCTCCTGCCCTTCCCTAAGGGCGGCCAAGGAGGCACTTCCCGCTCCCCTCGGCTCTTCGGGGGCGGAGCCCACCTGTGCCCGAGGGCGGAGCCTGGGCGGGGGCGGGACAGGTGGGCGAGGTGGTGCCCAGCGCTGGAGAAAGAGCTGGAGCTGGAGGAGGCGCGAGGAGAGGCGGGCGGGCAAGCAGGCAGGCAGGCACTCCGGGCAGCCTCCCTCTGGGCAGCGGGAGAGCGCGAGCGGGGCAGAGGGAGGCAGCGAGCCGGCGACTGGAGAGGCGTGGAGAGCAGAGCCGGGCGCCGAGGAAGCTCGGGGAGGAGGGGCCGCCTCTGCTCCCCGAAGGGATCTGCGAGGCGCCCCGCGCGGCCCTGGGACCCTCGCGCGCTGAGCATGGGCCGGCGCCCCTCCGGGAAGCGGCCGGGGAAGGTGGCCTCGGTGCAGCCCTGAGGCGCGGGGCTGCGGCTCGGGGCGCCCACGGCGCTGGGCCTGGCCGGGGCGGGGGGCTGGGTGCGGAGCAGCCCGCGCTGGCGGCGGCCGCCTCGGCGCCGCGCCATGGGGAGCCCCCGGGCCGCGCTGCTGCTGCTGCTCCTGCGCCCGGCCAAGCTGCTGCGGAGACGCTTCCGGCTGCTGCTGGCGCTCGCCCTGGTGTCCGTGGGGCTCTGGACTCTGTATCTGGAGCTGGTGGCGTCTGCGCAGGTCGGCGGGAATCCCTTGAACCGGAGTAAGTAGTGCTAGGGTGGGGAGGAGGGTCGAGGGCGGGCGCAGGGGACGGTAACCCCGGGGCGCCCGCGCTGAGCGGGGGAGACTACGCCGCGGCTCCTCCATCCTGCTTTCCGACTCGGCTTCCCCTCCAGGTGCCGGGCGCCGCCCCGCGCCGCCGCGGGGAGAGCCACGGAGCCCGAGCGCCGAGTTCCCGAGCCCCGGCCTTGCCTGCCTGCCATGTGGGGCCGGGACATCCTCGCCTGTCCCGGGAGAGATGCGCCCGGAGAGGCGCGGCGCTGTGGGAGACTTGCGGTCTGCCGTCCCCGGCCGCATCCCTACTGAGGTCGCGCGTTCCCGCGGTGGGGCCCAAACTTTGCCCCCAGTCGGCTCGCTCCCCACCCCCACGTCTCCCTCCGTCCGCGTCTCCCGGGCTGCCTTTTTAACAATGCCTTGGAGAACCACCTCTCCACCCTCTTCCCACGCATCCTTCCCCTCTTCCTCCGGATCCCTCAGCGTCCGCCCCTGCCACCCTCATGCTGGTCTTCTGAGGCCTCCTTGGAACCGCTGCAGAAGGCACCAAGTTCCCCAGATCTGCTCCGGGGTGGGGGGGGGATGTGTGTGTGTGTGTGGGGGGGGTGCACACGGGCCGCCCATGGGCCGGCTGTGCCTGGATTCCCGCTTGCTGTTGCTATACCTTAGTCCCTCCTAGGAAAGCAACGGCATTCCTCAGCTTGCCTTTTTTGGTTCAAGAGGCGTGGGTATCCCAGGTGATGTGAGAGACCTCACGAAGTAAACAAACCCCAAAACCAAACCTGGTGTCAGGGTCTACGCTGAGTGTGATGGCAGGGAAAAGGGGGGGAAGAAATGCCCTTCCAAACCCGAGGAACCCGCTGGCCTCCCTGCGTGCCTCATTCCCCCCTTGCTGGACCCTGGGACTGTAGCATGAAATTGCTGTACCCAGCGTTGGGTGTGGTGCCCAGCCTGTCTCCTCTGGCCAAGAAGGAATGACTGGGGACAGGTTGGAGCTATATATTTATGGTCTAACCACTCGGTGTGTGGCAGTGGAAATAATTCCTGCTGTGATCTGGGAAATGGGGGTTCCGATCTTAGCTCTGCCACTCATTTCTCCCTCCTCCTCACGGGGGAGGAGGTGTGGGGGGGACTCAAGGGAACATGCTGAACAATGCCCAGGTGAAACGGCCTGTGACGTTAAGAGATCCTCAGATGTGTAGCAAAGCCACGTCCTGGGAGTGTTCTCAGTCCCAGAGAGAGCCCTGCACAGAAGGGTCCTTTCCGATGACAGCCACCTGCTGGCCCTTCCCTCCCAGAGTTCTTCTCAAAGACAACAGGTGCCTCTACTTTTTCACAACACTCTAGCCCCCTCATGTCCAAGTACAGACGGGAAACCTGGGAGAAAGATCTTCCTGTGTCGTCCTGAGCTCACCTCTCCTCGGTGTAGCCATCAGTGTGTGTGCACGCGCGTGCGCAAGTGATGGGCAGTGCGATCCTCTGCACAAATGAAAAACAGAGGGAGTTGCTTTGTGGCCCCAAGTTGGTGACCTTCCTCCCTCCCCCTCTTCCTTCATCTCATCTCCGGGACCAGGTTTTGGGGGGCTGTGGGAGAGGAGTGTCATCCTATCATCCCCTGGCTCCTGTTTGCCTTCGTCATTCCGAGCCACTAGTTCTTGGGTCTTTCCATCATGGACGAATCTGATGGCATGTTCTGGGTCTTTGTTTCCTTTTCCAAATGAAAACTTTTCCAGGAAAAAAAAAATGTATGCCCACAACTTGGTCGTTTGGAGCAGGCTTGCTGTGTCGCTGGTGTTTGTTTTAACCAGAGGCACAGCCTGGCCCCTGCCGGATCCCATGCCTTCATCTTCTTAGCGCGTACGAACCACAAAGTCCATCGGCCATGCAGGGCGGTCGTGACACTGGCCGTGACCTCTTGAGTTCCAATCCCTCCTTGATTTACCTGAGGAGGAATTTCACACGGTGGCTATGATGTGTCTCCATCACTCCCATTCTTTTTTATGTTGTTGTCCTGAAGCCTAGACAACGTTTATCAGAATTCCCTCTTGTCCCATGGATTGTACTCCTAGTTTAGAGGGGAGCCTCTGGAGGGGTCAAGGAAGGGGGCTGTGCCCACTTCCTCCTGTGCGACAAGGGGAATGGCCTTGCTGCTCCCAGGAATGCACTGTGGCTTTGGCCAAAGCCACCAGAACCCTGTCTTGGCACTGCTTCCCAGCCAGCCACCCTGTTCTTCTTCTGAGCAGGCTCTGCCAGCTCACTCCACCACCAGTTTGCCTGTCGTCGGTCTGGCCAAGCTGTATTCCCTAAAACCTTTCATTTGCCTGCCCCTGGGTGAGTGGCACAAGGATCCTGCTTGAAGAAGTGTGTGGAGAGATGGCGATCACTCTGGGGTGGGAAAGTAATAACAGGGGAGTTAGCTTCCTGCCTCGTCCTCGTGAAATAACCCAGTATTTTAAGATGCAGATGATGTACAATTTGGGCTCTGTATGGAGAAAAGGATATGACCACAATTGGAGTGGCTTTGGAGAAAAACAACCAAAATCATTAACAAATAGAAAATGGGTCCCCTGGATAAAAGAATGAGGTCCGCTCACTCGCTCATTGATGCGAGTGTTGATTTGTGCCTGTCTCACACGGGGTATGGTGCTGGGTCATTTGGATGTGATAACGAGGATATGGCTTCTGCCCTCAAGCCAAGCTGCTCACATGAAAATAATCATACGATACTAGTTGTGTTTTTCAAGTGTAGCACCTAGAGGTTTCTTGTGACACTTCTGAACATGCGGCACCATTCTATTGACTTTGAAATGTGTATATACATATTGTTTGAAAGGCAGATTTTTTAAATGATTTATTTATTTTCATTGGAAAGTCAGATTTTTATAGAGAAAGATACAGAGAGAAAGATCTTCCTGGCTCTCTCTCCAGGTGGCCACAATGACTGGAGCTGAGCTGATCCGAAGCCAGAAACTTCTTCCAGGTCTCCCACGCAGGTGCAGGGTCCCAAGGCTTTGGATCATCCTCTGCTGCTTTCCCAGGCCACAAGCAGGGAGCTGGATGGGAAGTGGAGCAGCTGGGACACCAACTGGTACCCATATGGGATCCTGGCACATGTAAAGCAAGGACTTTCGCTACTAGGCTACTGTACCTGACCTTGTCCCATCAACTTTTAATAGTCCATTGAGGGATCTAGAAGAGTTGTTGGTAAGATTTTGATAGATGCAGAAAGAGGGACAAAAGAGCAGCAGCCACGAAGACAAGATGAAGGACCACTGAGAGCTGCACTTGGGAGACAGGGTCATGGGGGTGGTGGGGATGGGATGGCACTGTTATGGAAGGCTTCTGAAGGCAGGCTTTATTGGTGCCATTTGTTCTAGAGAAAGCAGATAACCATTGAGAGGTTCAGAATAGGTTAACACCGTGGACTATCGACATATCTTGGGGTATGGATGAGGGGTTCTGGAACAGTTCCTGAGGGTCTCTTGCTGTGCCTTCACATTAACCCTGTAGCCGCTGGACTGTGCCGTTGTCCTGGGGGCAATTGCTGTATACCTACTCTCTCCCAAGTATTTCAGTATTCTTATATATAGTTGAGCTAGTATATACTGGTTGAAAAGTGGCCCTGGGAGCAAAGTAATATTGAAAGTTAAAGATTGTCCATTGTGGCAGGTTTTAACAAGCCATACCCATTTGTTCGAATTGGATTAACCAAGGTTCTGCCTGAGGCAGAGGTCTGAGCTGAAACGGTTTCTAAGTTCTTTGCTTTCTAAGTGACCTGCTGCTGGGGACCGGCTTAGTGCCAGAGCCAGACTGTGACTTTCAGGCATGAGACCAGAGGTAAAGGGAAAACAAAACAAAACAAAGAGACAAGAGAATGTTCTAGTCTCTTCTAGAACTCTCCAGGCTGGGTCTGACATGTTCTCATGTCAGTGTGAGCTGAACCCCGAAGGGATTCCCAGCACAGGGCTGATCAGCGATGTAGCGATGTTGGCTGCCAACAGACACCTTGCCTTTCATGCTGTTCATTGTGATCCTGTCGATGTCAGGCAGGCACTTGTGCACACACGGTCCCCACTGCCATTCCAATGGGAAAGGACAGAAACACTCCGTGGCAGAGGTAACTCGGGGCAGAGGTGTAATCTGAGATGCAGGCGAGGAGCAAATGAGACAGATGTGTGGGTAGAACGGGGATAGAGTGGCTTAGGGTTTAAACTCAGAGCAGAGGCAGGCTCAGAGTCCCGTGGGCTGGGGCTGTATTTCCCAAGCCCTGGTGGACTGGCCTCTCTTTCTCATGAAATCCCTTCCTGACTGTTTTTCCCAGTGCCCCATTTCTCTCTCTTGTCACTGACCTGCTCACTTGGCTGCTGGCTGTATCTTCAGGTTGGTTTTGAAGGCCTGGGTACATGCAAGGCATTCAGAGAAGTACTTACTGGTTATAAATGGCCAGCTCTGGATTTTTAAAATCAGCTGATGTTTTCCACTGGCAGATACTCTGTTTATCAGTGACCGACCCAAGAATAGCACCTAGGAATTCTTGTTCCCTGTACCATAAAACAGATAAACAACAATGGCCTTTGCATTCGAATGAACAGATAAGGACTCAACCAATAATACTTTTTTATTTGTGTGCTTTTCTTGGGGCCCACCACCATTGGCACCAGGAATACAGTGTTTAATGGTAGGTGACCTCGCTGTATGCATTTGATAGCTGTCCTTCTGGCCTGGCTCTCTGCCGTCCTTGCCCTGGTGTGACCAGCAGAATTGCAGCACCATGGCTGCCATCTTGGTCTTGTTCCCTCTCCACTGACCCCTGTACCCCTGGCTTGGGCATCCCTGGGTAAGCCAAACCCGGTTCTCCTGCCCAGACAGTGGTTGCTGGAGTCGCCTGCCACTCCCTGTCCCTGTGTGGGTTTAACTGCTTTGCAGCCCTAAGGTCTTCTAAAACCACCCGCTCTGTGTTGGTGTTGGGGAGTGGCTGCTAGGTGTTCT